TTGTTCCTCTGCAGAGCCTCTGATACCGTGCTTTGGTCCCCTCTCTCACGCAGCTGGAAACTGGACTATCGGTGCTGGGATCCACTGGAAGAGCGACGCTAGCCGGCGCCCCAAGCCGTCTTCCCGTGTTCGCGCGTTCCCCACCGCTCTACCGCCGCCGCCACAGCCACCGCCACCGCCACCACTAACACCGCCGTCATCTCAACTACTACCACCGCCATCATCGCCCTCCCCCGCCGCCGCTGCTGCTGCTGCTGCTGCTGCTGCCGCCGTGGCTACCGGCGCTGCTGCTCTCGGCGTTGCCTGTGGGGAGCGGTGCTGGTAAGGCTTGTCGTCGTCGTCGCCGTCGACGTCGTCCTCCAACAAACCCAGCCACAGCGAAAACGCGTAGATGAACTCTTGAAAAGAAAGCCGGTCTCCTGGTCGGCCGAGCAGGGGGGGGGGTACCGTAAGAGCAGTAGCCTTTCGTGAGGATATTAAGCTTGGGTTTTCTAGGGAGTCTTGGGGTAGGATTAGGTATAGGTATAGGGAAATGGATAGGGAAACGACCCCCCCCTCTCTATTTCATAGTTTATACTTCATAGCTAAGTCCTCTAGCGAAGGCAACAGTTCTCATGCGCAGCGGCGGTGGCGGAGGCGTGTTTGTTTGCGAGAGGGGAAAACGGCGAGAAAGGGATGCCAGGGCGGCGCGCGAGTGCCCAAACTGCGGACACGCTCGATCAAAAGAGGGACGCGCGAGCGAGCGCTGACACAACCAACCGTACACATGCGTCACGGGGACCTGCGAAACAAAACGAGCTTCCCTCCCTTCCTCCCTCTCCTATATAGGCAACACCGCAATACGTGTCATGACGACCTACGAAACAAACGAGCCTCCTCCCCCTCTCCTCCCTCAAAGGCAACACCGTACATACAGCACGTGTCACGAGGACCTGCGACATAAAACAAGTCTCCTTCCCTCCCTCCCTCTCCCTCTGTAGCGCTCACCCACCCACTCACCACCCACCCACCCGAACCGTTCCTCACCGTCCCATGCCGCCTCCGACCACCGCTTCTTGTCCAGAAGGCCGCTCACGCCAGGCTCATTCTCGCTCTTCCGGAGGGTCTTCTCGATCGTGCTCTTCGTGATGAACCCACGCCCCTGCCAGAGTGACAAGAGAGGAAGACAAGAGAGGCAGAGGAGACAGACAGACAGACAGACAGACGGGACAATCACAGAGGGAAACAAAAACGTGAGAAACAAAATACAACGAAAAATAGAACCGAGGGAAAGCAAAAAAGTGGAGGAAGGTGATAAGTACCTCAAATGGAGGATAACAAAATTAACCACTTCCCAAGTTGACGCACAAAACCAAAAAGAGAGAACACTGTTGTGGCGGAGCCTAACGCAACGCCATAGTAAGCCACCAACACACTTATGTATCTCCATCGACCATTCTGTGTATCTCCCTGTCTGTCTCGGCGTGCTCAACCTAACGACTGCGGCAGCATATCACGGAGGCCCCCACCAAAGCACCGGACCCCTTCGCGAGATTAATGATGCCTATTCCCTAACCCTCACCCAACTTCCTCGATTTGTATGCTTCATGAAACATGTTTACTTAATTAAATCGAAAAACCGTGCGAAGGGTACTGAAAACGCCGGTCGCCAGATGACGCTCGGCCAACCACGCGTCCTTCTTTCTTTCCTTCCTTCCTTCCTTCCTTCCTTCCTTCCTTCCTTCCACTCCTGCAGCATCCATCCTTGCCCTTGCTTACCTCCTTGTCGAACTGGAAGTAGGCCGCGATGAACAGGTCCAACACGTACTTGACGCTCATCGAAACATCCACTTCATTCCCGCCCGCGCCGCCACGACCCCCTGTGGCTGAATTCGATCGTCCGGATCTTGAGAGGCCCCGCGAGAGCCCGCGCACTGACGTGTCGATGGACATGAGGCTCGGGATTTGTGCCCACTATCAAGATTTCAAAGTCGACGGGGGGGGGGGGGGGGCCCCGGATCGGATCAAAAAAGTATTATTGGTGCTTCCCGTGTGGTGTGACTGGCTCTTCGTGGCATGTACCGTGCTTGCTTTGCTAGGACGAAGAACGCACAAGAACGCAGCCCTCACCAACTAGCCTGCACTCAGTGCATGGTCGACATCCAATCGTGAAAAAAAACGCTAGACAGACGACTTAGCTCTCTACCAACACCAAGGAGAGATAAGGGTGACACGACCGGTTGTCAAACTAAGTTCTCATACCTGCGGCACTGAGGGCGGCCGCATGATTCGGCCGATCAACGGCGGCCTTCAAATAGTCCAAGCACAAACAAACAAACAAACAAACAAACAAACATGTCATACATAAACACGAAAATCGTAAGCAGTCTCTGGATTTTGAGCGTTCCCCATCGCGCAGCAGCATCTACGACACAAAGACACCTTCAAAACAACTGTACCGTGGACACAAGACGATGTGAACAACAAGAAAAGAACGCGGGAGAGATACCCTTTTTTGTCGCCATGTAGTATCGATGCTCGGGCGTCGTCCCGTTCAACAGGCCGTCGACATGACATCGCAACCCCCCCCAAACACACCCAACACACCCAACCGCGCCGAAAATTCCCACCTAGGCGACCAACCCCCCCCCAACCGCCCCCCC